GTGTCTTTAGCCACTCTTACTTGGCTTACAACTCAGCAAAAGCCATAGCCAACTTATTAAGTGGGATGGGCAACCTTCCCCTATTGGTTCAGGAGCTTCCCCATCAGAAAACCTGTCTTGCCAGAAGTGTACTGTTGAAGGTGAGTACAGAAACATTCAAGTCATATCAAAGCACAGCTTCTTTTGCTCCCTGAATATTATAAAATTGTACAAACTGTAAGGACTCTATACACCTTCATAATTAGGACCTAAAAGTAAAACATGGGCACCCTTAGGTACTGTTGAAGGTGAGTACAGAAACATTCAAGTCATATCAAAGCACAGCTTCTTTTGCTCCCTGAATACAGTATTATAAAATTGTACAAACCGTAAGGACTCTATACACCTTCATAATTAAGACCTAAAAGTAAAACATGGGCACCCTTAGAGAAGATGGAGAAACTGAAACACAATCTCCAGCACCAGCAAAAGTCACATTTTATTTCAGAAACAAAGCTATCTATTATAGGAACCCTTGTGTCACTCAACAACTCATCCTTTAAAATTTCACACATTCTCATCTCTGGCACCAGCCATAATCTCTGATAATTATTATTTCAGCACAACAATTATTTGAATTCTACACAGTATTTCAGATTTGGATTTCATTAGCAATGTTCAAGCACAGGATGAAAGAAAATGCTGTGAAGAGCCCACATCAGTAGTAAATTTAAATGGTTTCAGAACATAATTCTGAATACAAAAACTATGCATAAATCTATTAACTTCTGGAAGAAAGATGGATTTGATTTAAATAAAATTTATTTAAATCACGATTTAAATTAAAAAATCAGATTTTTGACTATTTAAATAAAAATGTATTTTTTAAAAAAAATTAAATCATGAATTAAATTGATTTTTTTAAAGTCATTGATTTTTCTCTACCTTGCCTGGACATTATGCAGGTGTATCTCTGGCACAACAGGGCCGCCGAAAAAAATATGAACTGAAAGAAGGATGAGATTTGACACAAAAGCTATTTCTGGTCAGTCATGTGTCTAAGGTCCAGCAATTCACACACATACACGCCCTGAACAAGCCGAGTATGTCAATCTTCTCTTGACTGCTAGTCATACTCAGTTTCAATCAGTTTTCTGTAGAAATTGTGCATGTTGCTTGAAAACAATTTCCAGTCATTGCATTTTAGGACTGCATGTATTGTCACGGCCCATAAACAAGACAGAGTTAATCCACAAGCCTGGTTTACTATAGGACCTGGAAGGATGCTGTTACAGGGGTTTATCTCATACTTTCCCACAACAACAGAGGACTGCAGCCCTGATCCAAGATCCTGCTGAGACTTGGCAGAACAAAACATAGCACCAGCATAGTAATACTGGATTGCTGTTGCACAACCCAAAATTATCATTGCGATGGCCCAGTGCTTGTACAAGTATACAGTGGATACCTCTTTGCATGAATGAGAAAAACAGCAAACCATTTTTGCCATGATCTGATGCCAGAATGGTTTGACTGAACAGAGTCCCAGCCATCCTATATAAAATTTCTGAACAATCTGTGCTTGTTCCTGAGCAATATGCTCCTTGTGACAAATAGCAGAGTGTGGGCAATGTTTAACGGTTTCAGCGTGCTAAATGAATACGCAGTTACTAAGCAAACACACAAGCAGCACCTCAAAACCTTGTTTTTTTAAAAAAGGAAAAGAAAGCCATAGCTAGCAACTTAAAATTTTAGCAGCTGTGCCTTGGAGGAAAACACAGAAAATTTCTGCTGCATCTAATAGAAAACCATATATTATGTGTCAGGTTTCTTCAAGGCAGAAAAAAGCAACACTTCATGTCTTTACTCCTCTCATAAAGTGGAAAGCACAAAAGGACACAGAAGCAGTGTTTTTCTCTACAGGGTGTCTTTAAGTAGATTAAGAGTACGTTCAGGCCATGATGACAAGAACTTTGGCTCTACTGTACAGCTCTATGCAGAAGATGCCATTATCTGCACAAGGTTGCAGTCAAACCCAAGAGAGTTGTTGATTCCAGGCAAAACAGAGGACATCATTTGACTATCAGATTACCTAAGTATCTGAAAAGATTTTTTAGAGTTCCAGTGGCTGTCACATTAGGACAATTCCTTAAAATACTCAACAAACTAGTGCTTATTGAAGCCAGAGAGTTGTATTATTATTGTTCAGATCATGCAGTTTGGACACATTTATTTAGAATGCTACTGGGGGGTGGGGTTGAAACTGAGCAGTAAAGAAGGAATTAAATGTGGGTGGTTGTTTGGTGGGGATTAGAAAGTCTGCACAGAGTACTGAAAGAAACCCAAACAAACTCTCATTATGTTGACAAGAATTTGCCTGAAACTACAAGTAAAGACGCATGCCAAAATGTCTGGCTTTTCAGGACATGTGCAAATTCTTGTGTAAGGTTGCCATAAGTATCTGAGACACACAATCATGGAGAGATAAGTACCTTGCACCCTCCCCAGACATTTCAGACTTCCCACCGTCTCCAGACTACATGTGCTGACTTGTAAAAGTTATAGGCACAAAATCTGGAGGTAACCAGGCCACTTAGCCCTGCACTGGCATTTTCAGATATTCCAGCTAGACACACCTACCAAGAATTATGTGGAATAAAAATGTGAAATAGTCCCCGAAAGTCCTTCAAACATTCAAAAATAAGATGCCTGTTGTTCAAAAGACAATGATTTAGAAACCCATTTACTTTTCTAAATATGACAGGAAATAACAATTGATGGACCAGGCTTGTAGAGAGATTATGTATTTACAGTAGACTAATAGAATATAACAGAAATTGTATACAAGCAATATTTCATATTTTGCAAAGGACTCCAGCTGACACTGAATAAGACTCTTAATATTGGATCATGATCAGTATCAGCATATTCTTTACAAAATGGTTTTTATCTTGAACATACTTACTGACATATTACAAATGCAGTATGATTTATCCACCCTATCCTACAAATGCAGTATGATTTATCCACCACTTCCATTCAGTACTTGCAGTTATGGCACTGTACACAAAACACAACAATATACAAAATAAATGTGACACGTCAAGTGACATATTATATCAAACCACCATTTGTTGTTGTTATCTGTCCTCAAGTCACTTCCGACTTATGGCGACCCTATGAATGAGTGATCTCCAAAAGGTCCTGCTCTCAACTGCCCTGCTCAGCTCTTGTCAACTCAGGGCTGTAGCTTCCTTTAGGGAGCCAGTCCACGTTGTACTTAGTAAATCAAACAATCATTTGAGGAAGATCTACAAATCACACCCTTAGTGTCACAGGCAATCCTAATAAAATAATCCTTAATTATCTCTGTGGCTATATAAAATAGCTTTATGAATCAGGAAGTGGCTGCCCATCTGTTTGCCCTACTTTGTGATAAACCTATGGCAAAGAGAATCTATACAAAATTTTCCTATATCTGCCTTCTCCATCTGTGAGCCAGACGTGTATGTGCTTTTTGTATATTTCACACCTGTGGAAAAATATGTAGCATAACACTACCGTCATGCTCAGCTAGTGAAAGCAGCAGATAAGACACATTAGCAGAGCAGAGTCTCTCCAGATAGTTCAGGCTTCAAATGAGGAACTGGCTTAGGTCTGATCCACCAAAATGAGCAGTCTACGAGATGTAGGGTGACCACAATATGAAGTGCATGCATGCGTGTCCGCATGTACTTGCACATGCATGTGTGCTCAGGCGCGCGCGCACGCACACACACACTTTGGAACTGTTACCACAACAACTAACAAAGAATTCAACAGAGCTACACTGCCCTAAAACATAGGCTGTCTCTTCTTCCTAACTGTATCTCAAGTTTTGCAAGAAAATAAACCAAAGGTGGACAAGTCATGACACCTGAGTATAATTTATTGCATTCATTACTTCTATAATGCATACATATCAACAAATTAATCAGTTGTGGGAACTCAAAATGCTTATGCAAGAGTAATGGCAAACCATAATATTTATATTAATAAATGACTCAAGTTGAAGAAAGGGAGCTCAAGCACTGCCGTCTGCTGTCCCCCTCAACACTTACAATTCATGTTTGCAAGTAAACACAGCGCACAGTTCAACGGTTTGACCTCAATTTTCAACAAAAGTAGAACAGGGAGGAGAAGACGTTCTATCTCAGATTCCTCATGTCTAAGTCACCTGACAGTGAGCAGAGTACTGGTTTATTCACACTGTTCATCATGTCAAACGTCTACTCCTTTCTGTTAATGAGTCAACTGTTTTATATATGGTATATATCTGAAGAGAGAGCTACAACTTGATTTAATTACTTACACAGTAATATGACATCCCAACAGAATAAATCCTAGTAATAAGTTCCATGGAAATAGCAACACTTCCTATTTATCTTAAAAATCTGTCAGCACAATAGTGATGGCAAACTGTTGCCTGTGGGTTATGTGGAAATACCTTCAGGAACCCAAGAGGAGCATCTAAGCACCTTTTCTGCCCACAACCCTGGACAAAAACCAGCCAATCACACCATCTAAAAGGCATGATTGACCTTTTCATAACATTTTTAGATCTCCTTTCAGATTTGGTTGATGGCTTTTATCACAAAATCAAAATGATCTTCCTGCCATATCCACATTTGAAAAATGCACCATCTCTGGATCTGAAAAAGGTTTTTGATGGCTTCCCTGGGCACAAAAGAGTGGGAACATCCTCCCTGTGAAACTGGTGTGAAATGGCCAAGGATGTCCTTACAAGGCACCACTGGCCATATATGGGAGTCCAAGACACTGAGAGCATGGGGTGTTAGATGGGTCACAACAACACCTAAGGCCTCTGGAAGTTACCTAGCCCTGACTTTAATAAGTAGAATCCTTTTTTTTTCCTTTTTGGTGGAAACTCCACCATATAGTGTTGGCATCTCAGGGTAGCTGAGCTTGCCACTTTGTCTCTTCTAGTTCTCAATACCTTTCGGATGCTTGGTTTGACTTACCCAGTTCCTTAGATCCTTGACTTTCACTGGCCAGCTCTCCCATCTTAACCAGAGCATCGAAGTATCCTTTTGCTGCGTATGTCACACCTGGAAATTCAAAACATCAATGTTATACACATTTTTGCTCCAGTACCCTGATAACAGCCACAACATCACCATAGGCTCAGCAACAAACCCCACAGAGTATCTACAAAACCGCTTGGAAATCCTTTTCTATTATCCAAATCCAAATCATTATGTTTTACCTAAAATACAAGCTGGGGTCCTTCTAAGCAAACTATTTTCCAAAGTTAGAATACTACAATGTTCATGACTGCACTCAAATTCCACCAGGTCCTATTCACACAATCATCCTTGCTGGCAACTAGGTACCAGGATCTGTTCTACACAGCCTGTGCGGCACCACAAATGAGACCAGTAAGAGTGACTAGAAAGATTTTCTGTACTGTATTTCCCATACACCAGTATTTGAGTCTTGAAACCTTTTAGTACCCTCACTGGCATATTTGAGGAAAGAGAGCTTCTTTATGGCGGTCCCCAGGCCTTCACGTTGCTCCCTTTATACTAGCAGGCAAAAAGCTTTTTATTTAGACAGGTCATTGGCCATTAACCTATTGTTGAGTAAATATCTTTTACAGTGAGTTATGTAATTTTTATTTTTGTCTTATTGTGTCTTAAAATGAACTTTAAACTGTTTGAATTCAACACAGTAACATTCCATTGTATTTTAATATTATAATGTTAATAATATTAAAATCCCTTTGTGTAACATTGCAAATGGCATAATTCAGAGGAAAAATGTCCCAGGTTAAAAAAAATCACCATAAGGACTATCAATCATACACCAAATCCCACAACTCAGTATGGAACTAGTAACATCTCCAGTGATTTCTGTGAATGTTGGTGCAAAATCAGCCATCTATTTTAACTCTTGGTGCTTGTTCACAAAGGCAGAATAAAGAGCTATTCTGCATCTCAATGAATCATTCCAAAAAGATTGAATGTCCTAGCCCTGTGGCAGAAAGATGTGGGCCAGCTCTTAATTGGGAAGGATAGATTGTTTTAAGTAGAATTACAAACAAAGGTCTTTTTCCTGTGCCAAACAGTGCTATTAGGGAACCATATACAATAATTATATGACAGTATGGAGGAACTGAAACACAATTAACTTAAGGCAAGTAATCTCTGACAAATCACACTGCTTATGTTAAGACAGTGTAATGAGCAAGAGGATCTGGGCCACTGGAATACATGTTGCTAGCAATTTTTTGTTCCTATACTGGGAGAAAGGGGATTATAAATAAAATAAAATATATAAAACTGATGGAACATAAACAGATATTAAGGAGCTGGGATGGGATAAAATATTGGAACACAGTAAAGAATAAGAATGACGGGCAAGAAACAAAGACACGAAACTGTAATGTCTTCTTAAAGCCACACAACTATGTACAAATCTTCAACAATGTTTAGTCTTCAACTGCAACATACAGGTTCTGTCAAAGAGAAGATGTAAATATGTGGTATTTCTGAAACTGACTCCAAAAGAGTGGTGCACCCTTACATTCAGGTTAATAGAGTTTAGTGCAGATCAATCTCTGAACAGCGTAAATTTATAATGCTTTTGAGATGTAATGAGGGCTACAGTCTGGAACTCAATAATTAAAACCTGATTAAAAATCGGGAATCATGATTGTAGAGCAGGGCAGATGAGACACACAGACACAGAAATTGTTTCTTGAATATTTAGTGTGTGTCTTTACCATGTATTCCAACTCTGTGTAAATATAAATAATGGAAAATTGTGTGGGGGGGTTGTTTTTGCACATAACAGAAAAACATAACAGTGAAACTTTGAAGGCCTCAACAACAGTTTTTCAACCACACATAATGCTGGAAGACCAATGTCTGGCATATGCATCACCTATTCATTCAAGGGGAGACAATGGCTGAAAAAGTATTAAATTAGGTTAGATTCATATAAAGCTACTTCCAGTCTTAAGAATGCAGAGAAATTAGGCACATGAATTGTCGTAAGTACAATTCAGAGATGTCACCAGGCAGAAGATAATACAGAAAATAATGGTCTGTGTGTGCTGTGCTTATATAATGTTGGTACAAACAAGTGCCAGAAGTGAAAGCAGGGGACTGCAAGGAGAACTGGTAAGTGCATGCATTTGGACTTATCATATAATTTAAAGCAAAGCAGGGAGTGGAGCACCGATATCACTCATGAGTCGTCCTGTTGCACAAGCCTCAGCAACAACAGCATATGGCCTAGGGAAAAAAAACAGCCTGTGGTCTCACAATGAGCTTTCCACAAGTTTCAACAGAAGACCATGGCCTTGACGAATCCTTCACATGTGATGTGCACTGTAGATTGGGTCTGGGAATGGAGCTGTTGCCAACCTGGCAAACCTATATAAACAGCAGGTATTGTGTGTTATATGCGAGAAACTGGAATCCAAACCAGAAGAGCATTCTAAGGACTCTGACTTTCCTTATAATAAGAATGGAGGGAAAGAAATGAAAACGAGTGAACTCTTTATCAATATTTCATGATACAGGAGAGTTCTTGAGTATGTATTAGCTCCTTTTATTCAGAATTTCAAATTCATTAAAAACGTAATTTGGAAACAGCATTATGCAGAATAAACAGAAATCTGATATACATGAGGCACTATTTGGATTTCAGGACACTGGTCACACTGGTGTGGAACCTGAACATTACTTTTGAGACACTGGTTTATCATGTGTCAATAACCAGCTATCTCAAATACAACTCATAGTTTTTAGCTTGGTTTGCTGACAAAGTGTACACACATCACTTTAAGTAGATTAATCACAAGAACCCAGTAGACAGGTTTTGCTTCAGCAAACCAGTTCTACTCTAGCAAATGCCTGGATAAGGATCCAAATCAGAAGACAAGAGAAAACTGAGTGTCAATTTCAGACTATAGAGTTACTCATGTAGGAGATCAGCAAACTGAATGCCTTTATCAAAATCTGAAGCAGACAAAACCAAATTGCAACTTCTGTACCATGATTTAGTTAGACTCACTTAAACACTGTCACAAACTGCTGCTTCTTTATTAGAGGACATTAAGGCAGTTATTAGTGGTGGCATAAAAGCTTTTAAAAAAGTTACAGCAAAGGGTGAACAAAAGCCCTTTAAGAAGCTACACAGCATACAAAATAGGAAAAAGCAATTTGCCAGGGACAGCAACCAGAAAACAGGGAGTATGAGCATTAAGTGTTCCATTTTCTTCCTCCAAGTAATTTCCATGTAAGAAGTAAGGAATAAGAATGCATCATCCCTTTTTAGTTTTCAGCCGATGGATAATTAGAGGTTTATGAAAACACAGAGCCTAACTTGAGTGGAAACTGCCTCGGATAGTCAGATTTACTGCCAACAACTGCAGCGCCAAGAGTTAGTTTATGCACTTAATCATTCCTCAAATACATACATACAGCTAGACAACGAAAGTAGGAAAATGGGAGATCTTGGGGAGATGCATTTGAAAATGATTTCTACCATAGTAAATAAAACCACGCACTATTTTTTATTTGACATTCAGCCCATGCATCCTCTATATGCAAACAAAAGGGTGTGTGTGTACATTTACCTCCAGCCGTCTTTGAAGGTATATAATGGGGAGGGGAAGGTGTGTGGTCCAGGTTTAGACACTGGCAGAGTTCCTTGCATGCTGGAGGAAGAAGATGGGCAGGTGATCTTCTCGGGTCTTCCTTCCTTCGTTTTTCAGAAGGACTAACCCAATCCCCAATTCTCACCAAACTAGCTTGGGAAATGATGCAATGGAAAGGTGGAAATCAGCAAAAAATGTGCTTTCCTCCTTTCAGCAGGAAGCTCTGCTGAATCTCCATACCTTCCTACTGATAGTGGGGGCTCTTCCATTCACCGAACAACAGATCTGGATCCAAACCTCATACCCAGATAGGGAGACGCATTTTGTCACAATACCCAAAACCATCAGAGCGTCTGCTCTATGTCATTCCAATAAAGTTAGTGCTTTGCACTAACGGGGTGGCACCCAAATCAAATCAATCAATCAATCAGGATCTCCCCTGGTGTGCAGTCTACCTTTCCTTAGTGGGCTGCATTTCTAAGCACTTTATGCTTAGAAAAGCAGAGTCCAAAGCCTGAAGGCCCTCAATCATTTTGATCTCCTACGGATTAACAAAAGTACTAGACAATGCATTTGAAAAAAAGTGATTAGTAGAATTACTCTCATATAAAATTCCCTCCAGCTGAAGATCACCAGGGCTTTCAATACTTCCAACTATTTCTGAATGCCAGGATCTAGCCTTGGAATACACAGAGAAGAGAGAAAGAAAAGCAGCCCTTCAGCTTGCTTACAGTTCTCTCACTACTGGGTAAGCCATGGTCTGATTGCATTTTAGGAGGCATGGCTTTGAATCATGCTTGAGCATCAGTGCCAGTGCTTCTTTTTCTCAAGTAGCTGCTGGAGATTGCCATTCATTCCAAGAAATATATGAGGCAGCTGGTGTGTACAAAATGAGCTGCAGTTCCGCTCAAGCAGTTTCCCCTCAAGCCTCAATCAGAGAATGCAATACTCACAAGACTGAGCCAAAGCATTGCTGTTTTTTTTTCCCCACAGAAAAACAAATCCCAGGGATGTTACTAAATGCCACACATAAGCAGGTAAATAAAGTGACATTGCCTATCCTCCGGCCATCTAAAAGGATCTGTTTTCAGGAAATCCTTTCCCTACAACTTCACTTGGGTTCAGGTGTGAGTGACTAATGAAAGGAGTGAGCAACAAGCTGTTCTTGTTAGCTGAGGTCCCAGTGGGTGGGACCCAGTTTGCCTACCTGTGCTTAGGAGAGGAAAACTTAACAGAAGAGCAAAGAAGAGCAAATCACAAGAGGAAAAAAACACACAGAGCTAGCAATACATTTTGTCAGCATGAAACACTTTGGCTGAAACCAGCAGGAAGTTTTAACGCCCCAGATAAGGTCAGCTAAAGTAGCTAGAGGAGCAGAATTCAAAGAACCGGGCTGAATAAGAATCACAGTGCCCAAAGGTTAGAAATTACCCTTACTGA